GGGGAGCCCGGCGGGTTGTTCTCCTTCACGAACACCGTGTACTCGGCCTGCGCGAACACCGGCGCGTTGTCGTTCACGTCGGCCACCTCCACGGACACGGTGGCCGTGGTCCACAGCGAGGGCGAGCCCCCGTCCCTGGCAGTCACCACCACCTCGTAGTCAGAGGCGCTCTCCCGGTCCAGGGCGCTGTCCAGCACCAGGGAATAGTAGTTCTTGAAGGTGGACATCAGCTTGAAGGGCACATCAGGCATGAGGGAGCAGGTCACTTGCCCATTTGCACCTTCATCTAAGTCAATCACGCTAATCAGGGCAATAACTGTCCCAATTTCTGCGTTCTCTTTAACAGGGAGCCAGAGCGTTTTAACAGTCAACTGTGGAGCGTTGTCGTTAACATCCACAACTTCCACAAGAACGGTACAGTGACCAGCCTGGGGCAAAGAGCCTTTATCAACTGCCTCTACTTGAATTTTGTAGGTTTTACTTTCTTCAAAATCAATCAGTCCTATCACCGTAATTTCCCCACTCACGGCGTCTATGTGGAACTTGGATTTTATGTCTGGAGAAACATCACTGGAGAATGCGTAAGTAATCTCTCCGTTCACGCCCTCGTCCGCATCGGAGGCGTTGGCGTTTATTACCAGCGTCCCAATAGAAACATCCTCCGGCAATTTCACCGTATAAAGCGTCCGGTGGAAAACTGGGGCATTGTCGTTGGCATCCAGCACCGTGATGATTACCTGAACGGAGCCGGTCAGCTCGGGTTTGCCTCCATCGGTGGCGGTGAGCAACAAATATAGCTCGGGAGCTTCCTCCCTGTCTAAAGGTTTCCGTAAGACAAGCCCAAGAGGCTTTACCTGTTCGTGGCGGGGTGGTATGTCCAGTGAGAAATACTCATTGGGGCTCAGTCTGTAAGTGAGCAGGGCATTGGCTCCGACGTCTGCATCCGATGCGCCCTCTAGTGGAAAGCGAGAGTCAAGCGGCCTGGATTCCGCAATAAACAAATTCTTTTGCGTGGCGGGGAACACAGGCGGGTTGTCGTTAATGTCCTTCACCTCCACCTCCACGTGGAAAACCTGCAGCGGTCTGTCCACGATCACCTCCAGGTGGATGCTGCACTCCGCGCTCCGCCCGCACAGCTCCTCCCGGTCGACCCGAGAATTCACAAACAAAATGCCATTCTGCAGATTTACCTCCAGAAGGTCCCCGCGACCCTTTGAATCCAACTGGAATTGGCGTGTCACCAGGTCCTCCAGTTTCAGCTCAAGATCCTGCGCGATGCGGCCCACGAAGGTGCCGTGTTTGGCCTCCTCGGGCACGGAGTACTGGAGCTGACCGCTTACCCCTCCCCAGAGTGTAAATAGCAGAAGCGAAAGCAGTAGATGCTGGCCCTCTGGGACGCTTCCACCGGAGTACATCATTTCAAATACTGGATCTTTTTCTAATTAACACAAATCGCCTCAAAATTAAGAGAAATATCAGATTCTGTCAGTCTCATTTTTCTGTGTTCTCCTTCGTCACAAAGAGTAAAAACGAATGGTGAAATTTTCTCATGGGAGAAAAGGAGCACTTACTCGTCTAGAATCACAGAATACCACGGTGAAGAGTGACATCACGTGGCCCAAAGAGTAAGTACAAACTCTACGAAAAATCATTGTACTTGTTTCCAGCAAATTATTTTGTCTTTATTTTACTTAATTTTATTTAGAATATATTTTATTTTTTATTGATTACTCGTTCAAATAGGAGACCATGGTTATGTTGATGGAGGCATTTTTATTGGAAAGACTTCCTCAAAGAGTGTTGCATGAGCACAGTTGTATCCTTCTCATACCTGCGAAAACCCTTCATTTAATTTTAAAATTCTGACAAAAAAGGGAGTGACAAAAACAATGTCTTTTAAAAAAAATCACAAATATTAAATTGGAAAATCCCTTTGTTCTGGAATTCAGGATCTTTCATGTAACTAGATTTAGGATTCTGGTGTAAGACAACTCATGAATCACTATCCCTAATGGGCATAATACCCCAAAAATCTAATGATGAAAAAGAAATTTGCCTCTGTTTTTAAAAAAGGAAACAGGGAAAATACATCTTTTAAAATAGTTTTACTAATTTGTTGAAGGTGCATAAAATATTTTAAGAATAAATTTGTTGAAGATCCATGGGATAAAATAGACTATGTTTTTCTCTTTATTAGCATTTATATCATCTGTTTCCAGGACTATGTTGAATTCTTACCTGTATGCAGTTTGATTCTTTGCAATCCTTCCCTTCTGCGAATGATTATCTTTGTTACAGTCCCCAATACAGCTTGTATTATGTCTTCTCATAATATATTTCAATTTCCTAATTTTTCATCCTTATATATAAAGGTTTTGGGGTTTTTTTGTTTGTTTTACTGTACTACAGATTGAACCCAGGACGTTTGCTTGAGAGTCAGGCACCATATATAAAGTGTTTTTATTTTAGAGTTATGCTTAAAAACAAAGTTATGCTTGTGATTGCCTAGTTTATACTTAAGAAAAGTTCTCTTATGAGTTCCAGTTTTTCCTTTCAAAGTACATATAAGTAGACTGATTAAATCAAATTTTAGTCTTTCATTAGTCTAAAGACAAAATCATGACTGTTTATTTTCCACTAATTCTTGTATAATTATCTTTTATTTTGAACTCATCAATAAAGGGTACTTTTTTAAAATAAGGGCTACTGTTAATTACTGCTGTCATTGATTACTACAATTTGTCATCCCTTTCAATTTCTTGAAACACAATACTTATTTATCTAGCCCAAAATCTTTTGAAGGCTACAAATTACTTTTGGGAAAAAAATCCAAATGCCTTAATCTACTAAAAAAAGGTACTTAGTCTTATGCTCAAAATATGGGGACTTTCTCACATTTTTTGCCTTTATTTTATGCAAATCATATGTTTTAACCAATGTAAAATGAACATTCCATGTTTCCACTCACATCAGAGTATTCTCTGTGTCTTTACATTTGCTTATATTTTCCCCTTACCAGTACTGCCCATTACTTTCAATATTCTTCCAGTGGAAAGCAACCCATTTACAAAACATGAAAAACATTTTGCTACCCTATATGAATCCCATCCAAGGGATAAATAGAAAATCATTTTCTTTCAACTCTGACCTTTTGATTTTCCTTTTCATGATCATTATTTACCTCAAAAGTTTGAAGCTTCAGGGTGATTCTTGATAAGTCAGTGATTACTGACATGAAGACACTCTCTTTGAGGTCTTTTTGGACCGTATTTATTATTTAAAAGACACTGGTGGACAAAGTCTTCTCTATTGTTATTGTATAACATTCGTGGAAAAATCCTTACTCTTTTTAGTGTTTACAAAGAGAATTTTGATTTATTTTACTTATTCACTACTTTCTTTTACTATAAAAATGTATTTGGGGGGTACCTGGGATCGAACTCAGGCACTTGCACTTGCAAGGAAGGGTGATGGAACCACTGAGCCAAATCCCCAGCCCCATATCAATATATTTTGTGCTTTTTAAGAAAGGGAAAACACAACAAATCAAAAGAAACAAAGATTTCAAACATATACATAGACCTCTGAAGGCTCTCAGTCAAGATGCAACTATGGAAAAAAGACACAACTGTCATTATATGGTAATCTTGACTGTCTTTCATTCATAAATGATAAAGATATTCAAGAATATTAATAATATGCTATAAGGATACACAGTTCCAGAAACGTTTCATTACTTTCATTGTTACACTATCCTCACCAAAGAAATATGCTCAAAATCTAATGAGCATGCAATATAAAGATTGGACAAACCTTTATAGGACCACAAATCTTTTTCCCACATCTAGAGGCTAATCCAACTCTCCAAAACTTGTAAAGACTGGCTTTTAGATTTCTTGCATTTTATCACACATTCAAAATATTGACGCCTTCTCAGTTAAAATGACTTCACTGAAAGATTTTTTACATACAAATAAAATCAATATGAAAAGCTCTAACTATTCTCTAACATTTTACTTTTCCTAACATTTTAAGTGACACTTTTTTTTTATACAGGACCTCACTGTAATCCTGGCTGGCATTGAATTTACATCCTCCTTCCTCAGCCTCCCCAGCACTTGGATGGTATGTACCATCACAACTAGCCACTTTAGGGCTTCTTGCTATCATTAACCTTTTCAGGCGACCAGAGATTTACCTCAATGGCTTCTCATCAGCCTGAAGGTCCTGAGTTTGATTCCCAGTACTGAAAAATAAAAACTTTTTTCCTCTTCGAAGTAATAATAAATCCCTTTTATTTTATTCTCCACTTGCTAGGCCTTATATTTATATATTATTTAATGTAACATATATAATATATAAATAATAACATAATACAATAATGTATTATTTAATTTATATATATATATTAACTTACTTTACATAAAAAGTCAGTAGGAAGGAAAGGTCTAAAGGAGTAGAGGAAGTGGAAGGGGAGGGGAAAGGAAATAAGAGAAAAATATGAAAAAAGGACAAAATGGCATCAAAATCTTTGCAAATAGGGAAGGGTGGGGCCAGGGATTTAGCCCAGTGGTGCCACTGCCTGCTTCACAAGCTCAAGGACCTGAGTTTGATCCCCAGTACCAAAAAAAAAGGGAATGGGGAAGGGGGTGAAGGGAGGGCAGGGGAATGGGGAAAAAATAAGAACCAAGATGCATCATGTAAAGGTACAAAATCTCAATAATGAATGTAACTGGACTGTACACTTAGAGTACCAATAAACTTAATGAGAAAAAAGTCTATGCAATAGAAGTAATTAATGTGCATAAATGTAGAGCCAATGAACTAAATGACTAATGCTTCATCAAAAGTGATATAGAACAAAACTTGGTAGAAGGACGAACGGGTTCGAGAAGCTTCCAAACCAACTGAAATTAATAAGTGAGCTCTGGCACTTTTTTCAATTCAAAAGTTGTAAGAAATAGGTATTAGCTAAAAGCAGTATGTACCCACATAAAATAGTAAAAAGCATTAAATATAAGAAATAGGTTTAGATGCTCTTTGCGAAAAGTACACCACTAAATAAAATTCAAATGTGAGAGAGTTAGAACAGCAGATAATAAAAAGAGTAAATTAACACGTTGTCAAATATGTTGCTAGATGGTAGGACAAACCCTTACTCTATTTATACCTTTGTAAAATCAATTAAAAGATTTAGGAGACAAATTTTAAAAAGCTATAACTAAGAACCACGGGAAATCATAGAACAGAAAATATAAGAGTAAGATCACACTCACAAAGGAAAAACTATACATTCTCTTCAAGTAGTATAATGAAAGTTAGTGCTCAAAAAAGACAAAAAATCCTTAAAATTGAGATTATGAAATTAACGATTCATGTTATAATATTTTTAAGAGCCAAATAAAGTGCTAGCCATGAAAAAGCATAATGAGAAATGTAAAATCAATCACAAAATAATCTCACTGTCAGATTCCTTTCAGTTTGGCAAAGGTGACAAACTGTGATCATAAATGATTATACAACTGGCTCATAAGTCATAAGCAAATTAAGAACTATGTTAGTAATGCTATAAAAATTCAGGATTCCACAAACTTTTCATTCCCTTCCAATAAATTCCACCATTCTCTCCAATGTAATACATTTAATATGCAGTGGATATTTAATATCAAAGCAGGTCAAATAACCTCAATAAGCAAATGGAGAAAGACAAAATGAAATAAAATCAATTTTAAAAAGCTGGAATACTACTAGAAAAGGAACCTGGACTTTTAAGAGTTTATTCCATAATACTAAATATTTTGCAAAAACGAATGAGCCCTGATCATGCTGAATATTCCACGTAATAAAACTTTTTATTATACATTTGATTTGCAAGAATGGAACTAGTGTGCTCAGATTTTCACATGAAAATATTTTTCTCTAGGTAATATTAAATATAAGTTTCCTGGTTGAAAATTTTTGTGATAAGTTTTAAGCCAGATCCTCAGGAATACTATGAAAACAAAATTTATAGTACTCAAACTCATGTACAAAGGACTGATATTCTTACTAAATAAATGACTAAATCAGTCTAAAATCTATTACTTGACTCACACAGGTACTCAAAAATGTTGAATTGTTAAAAACACTGGAAAACACGTGTCCATCTGTAAGAACCGTACAGTGGATGAGTAATATGCTACAAATGATACTGCATAGAACGGAGCATAACACATATTCTGCTTTTCAAAAGGGGGATGTCAAGAATATCCAGGGCAGTCTTCACTTTAGGCAACCATTCCACCACAGTCATATCCACAGCCCCATTTGTTCACTTCTGATTTTATTTTTGGCTTATAGTAAAATTAAGAAAAAATCCTATAAAACTGTGAAAAGGAATTATTCCGCATTATGTCACTAAATTATATAAAATGGTAATGAAAACTACAGGTACGTGTAGCAATGATAAAAAGGAAAATTAAAGTATGCAAACTGAGATCTTAAGTAAAACTAAATGTCAGCATCAGATACTATATAAAAGATGTACTTTCAAAAATATAATATGGAATAAGATTAAAAGCTCATTTAATAATCACAAAAGTTTAAGTGCTTGAAAAGAGCCTTATTTTACATATCTGAATACCCTGTACTTTAAATCATTAAAGTTGTTTAGAGAAGATTGGAAATACGAAAAGACTAAAATCAACATTCTGCCCCAAAGGAAAATATCTGAAGATATCCTGAGCTTAAGGAAAACTTGTTGACCATATTTAATGTATGAGAGATCACATGATCCTATGAGCTTAAAGCCAGTTTGGGGAAGACAGCCAGACTCCAGTATAAAACTCAAAACATGGGCACGCACACACACACACACACACACACACAGAAGTAGGATGAGTTAGGAAAGATATTCTTAATCTAAACCAATATTTCAAGTTGATTGTAATATATGCAAAATGTAATACCTTTAAAGTAATTTTAACATATCCAAAAATAGAATTTAAACTTATGGAATATAGATGGACTTACATGAATGCCATCCTCTAAGGTATAACCTTGCAGTTTGTCTACATTTCCTGGTTCTGGACATGGTGGAAGGCTGGGACTGAAGGCCATGAGGTCCGGCTTGGGCGGGTCCGTCTTGGGCAGGCCCTCCCCAGAGCACACCCTCTGACCCTTCTGCTGCGAGTACGACCAGCTCCCCACCGCGCTCGAGCAAACCAGCGTGGGCTTCCCAGGCCCGCACGCGCTCTCCGTGGGTGCCGCCGAGCAGCGCAGCGCCGTGTACAGCAGCAGCGTGAGCACCAACAGGCTGGACACCGCGCAGATGGCGATGATCAGGTACACGTTCACATCCACCACCGCCGCCTCAGAGCCCGGC